CAAGGAACGCAAGCGGGTGAAAGGGAGACTGAAAGTTAGGTGGGCAGATGAGATTAGGAAATTCGCGGGTGTAAAGCGTCCGCAGCAAGCACAGGACCGAGTCCACTGGCGGGATATGAGAGAGAGCTTTGCCATGCATTGGGAGTAGTCAGGCTGACGATGATGATGATGATGATGACGACGATGATGATACATAAAGTAACGTTTGAAATGCTCCTACGATTAGGTAAACGTTCAGAAAAAATTACTAGATGATTTGCTAAGAGTGAGAAAAATCATTTCATCAAGTCTTTTATGTGTGATACAAACAGTACTTTGTCAACTCAGTTAAAATGACTTCATTACATCTCAACGGTTTTCCTTCTCAGAAATTTTATCAAATATGTCCTATAATAGCATTATGCTCTGATGTGCTTTAAAACTGCTAATTATTTATCTAAAGACAAGCCCTTCTTACAATGGATCAAACAGGTCTCTACCTAAATGCGTGATAACACACTGCTCGCGTTTATCATTGAAACGTACAGATTCATGCTTGTGAATACTTACTCGGTACGACAGAAGCCGCGGAGAAAAAAAAAAGATTAGGTTCAGGCATTTATTTTCATCAAATGTAGCTATACTTTCTGTCGACCAGCTCATATGTGCTGTGAGACTAACCGGGGACAGCTGCGCTGTTCAAATGCCAGGATATCATCAATTACAGCGCACTAAGGCAAGCCGTTTAAAATTCAAGACGCTGGACAATTAAGGTGTCAGGAGGCGATGAGAGTTCAATGTTGCAGCCGTAGCAAATGAAGCAAAAAGTGGTCGTGAAACTGACACTGACGTGCCTCTGATGCCAAGAAGGGTATTTAAAGCGGCAACTGTGGACCTCGAATAGGGATCATTGAAAGTGCTCAGTGATGATAATAAGTCAGCCAAAAAGGTGACAAATTCTGCTCTTTGTTGACAAGGCAGGACTTTGAAGACAAATATACACCACAGCGAAGGTTCGAACGACGACCATGACAATGAAATAATATTTATTTTTTCAACCCTGCAGGAACGTTGAAAAATGTTACAACGAGAGCTGAATAATGCGCGCGCCGTCGTTTTCAGACGACAGAACTTTTCTCAAAGACTCGGCTGCTGACCCGCAGGGCACGGGTTCGAATCCCGGCTGCGGCGGCTGCATTTCCGATGGAGGCGGAAATGTTGTAGGCCCGTGTGCTCAGATTTGGGTGCACGTTAAAGAACTCCAGGTGGTCTAAATTTCAGGAGCCCTCCACTACGGCGTCTCTCATAATCATATAGTGGCTTTGGGACGTTAAACCCCACATATCAATCAATCAACTTTTCTCAAAGAGCTTGCACAAAGAAGTATCATAAGACACCGCAAGCGTACCTTCTCACCCCCTCAGATATGCGGTGTACAATCAGCGCTAACAAGTAAAATGCCAGGAAATCTCGAAGCACCACGAAAAGAGCATTGACGCAATGTCAAGCTACGCCCTCCTTCAGCAGAAGCGGAGAAAATAATCCAGCCCTTTCACTAATATTTGACTGAGATACGTGCCAAATAATCACCTGGAACCTTCGCGAAATCCATGCAAAACCCGATATAAGCAAATGGTGTCGGAAGGTCTGCATGATGAGAAAGTCAGCAAAGAACCTATGTTGTTCATGTGAGTCGTTGTTGCTGATGTTGTGTGGTCCGACGATCTTGAAGAACCAAGTGATGAAGCTGATGGAGCAGTGAACAGTTTTGAAGAGGTTCGCCGAAGAATCATGTAGTAGGCTGATGATGGAAGGAAGCAACGACAACCAGCGCTGACGTTTGTGCGAGTTGTATTTCCTGGAAGATGAAAATGCGGGATGCGTTTCAAGACTTGTGAACTGTACACGTTTGGTGAATACTGAAGACATTAGGTGGTATTGAAGCTTGTAATGTATGAGTTTGCGTTTGTAGTGTGATTTGTTTGCTTTAGTTATTTTTGAACACCATCTAACATACTTCGCAAGTGTACTATGATCTACACCAGCCAAGTGTGCATGTTACTGTGATGCCTTTACTGCCTAACCAAACATACATTCTGTTTGTTTTACCAACTCCTGACTTTGACAGGGTATTTGGACCACAATCGTCGTTCTAGGATACAGTCAAATAACCTACCCTAAATTATCTAGGTTGTTATGGCACAACTGAGCGGAAAACTGTAGAAAGGCTATACCATCGCAGCTGATGGTTTTCCAAAACGTGTACTCCGAGTCTTCCAGGTAGAAATAACACAGCTGAGTTTCGGATGCTCATTGCAGTGGCTGACGCGAGTAACACGACTGTGTTGGTCAAGCCCCTCGTCGACATCCTCGTACACTTCACCACGAAACAGCCTTAAAATTTGCGGTGCATCCAAAAACCATGACGCCGGAAAAGACGTTGGTTGAGTCTGTGTTGCCGAACTTGCCAGTTTTCTGGTGTGTTGTAGAAGGGAACCAAGTACTCGTTGTAGGTATATAGATTTGGCACCAGGTACGCCAAAGGTGAGCTGGTTATTCTGAGGCGTACCAGTTTCCAGAATATTTCTGTTTGTCGCAATGCATGAAACACTACTCAGCAGCTCTCCCAGAAATTTCACGCTATACTGGGTAGCACTGAACATCTGCCTGTGAGAACTTCGAGCTAAATTTAGTATGATTTCCTTGCCTTGGGCAAAAGCCTACTATGGGGTTGACCGTATTCTGGATTATAAAGTGAAGTTAGTGAAAACCATTGATAAAGCAGCCATAAACACTGTAAATCAAAGTGAATGAGAAAATGCGAATTTTGATATATGCACAAAAATGTAAAGCAATAAAAAAGATAGGCTAAAAAGAATAGGCATTGAATATAGAAACACACATAATTCCGCAGGTCCCACGTACCATGCGAATAGATGTTTACGGGGGGAAGGTGACTGTAGGTGGGTGAGTGAAAAACTTTACCGGGGTCCTTGCGTACAGACGTACGTTGAACATTGACACATATTTTATGTAATCACTTGTTCCGTGCCGTTGCCGAGAGCAACATGTTTATTACTAACAGCAGAAGCGGCGACCTGACATGTAGCGCTTTCGCTTAGAAGGATTGTAGCCCGGGCAGTTTCCGCGTACACCAATTCGAGTGAATGACACTTAGGTACAATAGACAAGCAACGTCTTGCGATGTGACATCTGTATCATAGGAGTCAAACGAAATACTGTTTATTTGTTAGCTCACGGTTTTTAAACTATCAGAATCTATTACGCACTTCATCTTCATCACTTTCTTGTTATATCCTTTGTTTCATAGTGGCACACGTGAGTCAGCCAGCAGCGAAATCGCCCAGCAGACACTCATCCCATGCTCGTAACCATACATATTCTTATGAGGAAAGCTGCAGTGACCGGCCTCAGCACGTCACGCCGGTGGAGACGCGAGCATTTTCTGCGCACGTTTCCTTCTCGACAGGAGGCACAGCCAGCGACCCCAGATGACGTTATCTGGGAACCTCTCAAATTACCGCACTACGGAAGGCTCGGTCACCCGTGACAACGTAGGTCCCCCAATAAAGCGTGAGCCTCCTCACTTCAGCAACATTTCCCTTTGCGTGTATCAGTTACTTTTCACGTGCCATTCTAAAAAATATATAAAAAACGAGGTTAATTACTCTGACACAAGATTCGGTATAACATGAAAATTAAGCTTGTCCTTAAAAATTACTTGAATGTCTACTTCAGATATACAAGAATGTCAGAGAGCTTGCAGAATGTTTATTGGTGTTTGGCAGCTATAACATCGTTTAACTTAAACACGCGCACATTGACACTTAGCGGCAAATCTTTATTCCGATGAGTAACGTCCATGATCAAAGGAAAAAAAGAAACGTTTTTGGTCATAGATGCTTGCGGTAGCTGTACAAAAAGCAGTGGGACATTCAGGAGAGCCGTCACGGAATTGACACCAAAATTTAAGCAGCCGAGATTGGACTAAGAACCCCTATTCAGAGCATCTTAGTGCATTGAACGCCACTGTACGACTACAGAGAAAATCAACGCACGTCGTGTTTGGCCTACCACGACTCGTTTTGGGGGAGCTTAAATGGAGAATACGAAGTTACTGCCAGCATACCTCCATGGTGGCCGGGTGACGCAGAGTTATTGTTAGTGTGAATCTATTTGGTATGGATGGATGGTATAAGAAAGAGTATAGGCGAGGCCGACGCTAGGGGCCATTCCACCACTTAGTGTAGTATTATAGCATCGTCAAAGTGGCACTTCCACAGTCGGAAACGCGCCTAAAATGGACGAATTGGCAGAAACGACGTGTTGCACAACCAAGGGTGGATGCAACGGGCACAATGAATTAGCTTACTTCACCGAGAGCTATAAAAGGCGCATTCTGTAAAGCCTCCAGCGTAAGGGGCCGTAGCGCAGCAGGTAGCGTGCTGGGTCTCTGTTGCCGTGGACAGAAAGGTCGTGAGGTCGACTCCCATTGACAGAATCCTCTTTTTTTCTCAGATCGCGCGTATTTCTTCGACATCATTGCCGTGACAAAAATATGTCACTGAAGTCTTGGTGGAACTCGGCATAAGCAATTTTGCGTTAGCAGATAGAAATAGTATGTGAAACATGTTATACCGCATTTGTCGAAGTGTTTCGTAATGCATGAAAGCGAGTCTACCTCCAGGAAGCACTGGAATTGTACCTGAAGGTACCATGTTCTTTGCGCCGCTTCGTGCACCTTAAATGTATGATTGTAAAGGTCAAAGGTTTACTTGATGAAAGCTGACGCTGAAATAGAATATTGAAATAGAATAGTAAAGGCTACGCGACACTTGCTTTTCCTGACACTACAAGTGATTCTGTTGTCTTGCACTTTAGCATACGAAGAAACCGCCCACTGAAATGACAAGATTAAAAAAAAAGGCTAAAGAAACATGGCAAGATAGATATAACGCCATCGAAAAGGCAATTCAACATTTACACAGCTGGAAGGAGATTTTGTGCTGACTACGCTTTGGGCCAGCCCCAATATATTGATCATATGAGCTCGCGTATTCAAAAGGCGTGCGCGTGTCATCACGCTGGTTTCATCAGTTGAAGAAAGTCGATTTGCCGCAAGAGAAACGTCGCGTCGATCGAAGCAGCCTGCATACCGCCAGTGTGTGTATTGTTCTAGATATCTCATTTTGATGCATTACATATGCATTCATTTGCGAATTCGCCATCCAGGGCATCAGAGGATCGCCACCTGTTGTGTGTTACCAGCAACTGTAGCCATGCTTCCGAGATTTAAAACAGCAGTAGTCACACTGTGTTTTTGCGGCCTTGTTCCCGCGGCGGTATTTTTTTACGTTTTTCACTCGAACCAAGCAGGGAAGTCGGTGCAACAGAGGAGGGCTACTACCGCTTCTACTGAAGCCGTAAATAGAATAAGAAAGCGAAGCTTTAGGCCTAAAGAAGTCACAAACATGTTGTCATTATCAGCACATCGTTCTCGTGGCAATACAAGTGTGACGGCAGTGCCTCACATGAGTGAAGATAAAGTAATATGCTTCCAGGAAGGTACAGTACCCGTATCGAGGAGCTCCAAGTGCATCTGCAAGAAGGGCTGGCACGGAAGGGAGTGTTCCATTCCCGACGCTGTTTGGTTCACTGAAGATTTCGAGAGATGGTATTCGGAAGGTCTGATCCGACGTCGTTCGAGGCCTCGCAAAATAATTAATGGACTGGTCTTCAATCACGAGCTCGACCTGCTGGAGGTTCGTGTACAAGAGCTCGGCGACGCTATTGACAATTATCTCGTCGTCGAATCTCCATACACGTACTTCGGCACGCAAAAGCCGTTATACCTCAAGAACAACCTTAGTGCTGGATTTCTGCGGGAGCATAAGCACAAGATCATTCCGATAACTGTGGACTACTACAACTATGCCGGAGGGGATCCGTGGGGTCCCGAAAACTACTTTCGAACATCTGTCTGGCACGAAGGCCACCGCCGGTTAAAGAAACTCCGGGATGACGACATCTTTATCATGTCCGATGCCGATGAGATACCTAGCCGAGACGTGGTGGTATTCCTGAAGCATCACGATGGTTTTGGCGAACCAATCAAGCTGCGCCTGAGATCGTTTACGTATGGCTTCTACTGGGAGCAGAGCACGCCCGTTGATGTGAGCGGTGTATGCACGGTAGCCTACATTCGAGAGGTTTATGAAAACGACTCGCTGCGTCTCCGTTCTATGCGAACATTTGCACAAGACAACATGTCAAACGCAGGAACGTTCAGCGAGTACTGGACCATAGAGGGAACGCCACCGTGCTACGCTGGATGGCATTGTTCATGGTGTTTCGACGTAAAAGGCATTCAGGTAAGAGAATAATTTATGTTCTCATTTTTCACCACATTTAATCATATCACCTGCTAAGTGTGCTGTGGCTCTGAGAAAGAAAATATCATGATTCCTTGTGTAAACACATAAGTACCAATATAAGTAACATTATAAAGTAGAATATACGTGCCCCGACAAGGACATACTAGCAAGTTTCGTGTCCAATGCTGTGTTCGTGCCAACGCGTGTCGCACATTTTGTGACGAATCCCTGGAAAAGTAGGACAGCTTTCTGTCATAAATGCACGATATTTTATTTTGGCCATATGAGTGGTATTATTGTTTTTGACTAATTATGAATAAAACGCCAGAATAAAGCACCATAAGTATTCAAGCAGGAATTTTTCGTGGCTTTTTAGGCGACGCACAAGCCTTGAGCTTTACTGTAGATAAGTGTATCCTTGCTGATTTTCCTAGAACTTTATTTTCCGGCAGCATTCGCAAGGTGCCCTTTTGTTTCATTAAGGTCGTTCTTTCGGCCGTGGTAACAAGCGGTTGAGTGAGACACCCTCTAGACTTGCTGGTATAGAGACTGTTGTCATTGATTTCACCCGAATTCTACCACGGTAGAGTGATCGACCTTCTAAGATGCAACAAAAGGATATGGTCTAGGCGCAGTACCAAGCAACATAAAGGCGCATTATGAGTGTCGAACTAGCTACGTAGGCGAGAGAAATCGTTTCCCTAAAAGAATACGCCAACGGATGAATGACGTCCGGAAGAGGGAAGTGCAACGTGGCACTCTTGCAGATTATCTGTGAGAAACACCGACCATACGATCGACTTTGACGGAGCTTCTGTTTTATAAACAGAAAGGAATCTAGAAAGGAGGCTCTTGTTCAAGTTCTGGATCATTCAGCACACACCTTCAAATAGAAATTTAGAGATCTATTTGTTGGGCGAGTTCTTGTACGTTCATAAATGAATATAAGGCGCAAGAATAGACACGAACACAAGGGAGGACATCCTGTCCCGTGTTCTCCCTCGAGATTGTGTTTATATATGGTCCTTAAATTCAATTCTGAACTCCAAAAGTAAATTAGCCGTTAAAAATAGTAGCCGTGGGCCTCATAACTGCAAGTAGATGACGAAGCATTGTTGCTCGTTCACGGCACTAGTCTCAAGAGAAGCCAAAACAGAGAACTAGCAGTAGTGCTATGCAAATCTAAGCCACTATGATTTCGCCTAAGAGCGTGATCCGGACATGGTGTACACGAAAGTGTTTCTTTAACTACGGACCCGTCTGTGTATACAACTTATGTCCCACCTGGTTCAACACGTGGTGAGTTTACAAACGTGTGGGGCCAGCTCCGACCAGTACGTCTCGTCCATCATGCAGTTACGTCATTCGTACAGGTGTTCTTTGTCCGGTTACCACGTCTCTGACTCCAATATTAGATCATGTCTGCTGATCCAACACGTGAATAATGCACGCGCTTCCATCTCCATCGTTTCTATCTTGGTGTGGCGTAGCTGGCGTACTCAGCACGCCAGGTTTGCCAGTAGATGGTTTACTGCAGTTCTTTGGAGTTTTATCAATGAAGTGCCCGGATACATGCACCAACTCTTCTTGCTGCTACCCGAACCCTGTACCTTGCACCCTAACTACCTCGTATCAATATGTTTGCTGCAACGTTTGCGCGGTTGGATCGCGTGGTGCTGGTTTCACTATGGCTCCTTTTTTAGGACTCTCCACTTCACTTTGAGAGGTAGAAGCAGTGCTTTGCAGCTTAGTTTTTAGGTGATCATCTCCTTGTTTTGTCACATCATCATCTGGTAGCTCGACGCTAAGTAGAACAAAGTCCTGACGTCAGACCTGCGCATACAACGAGGAGGACACCCCAAGAAACATGATAGGACTGCTCGTTCCAACGGCCAGCTGATCGAATTGGTCATATGAATGGTTGGTAATCTGTCGGCAGGCTCTCCTTTGGCGCGCTTCGTCAGTTGGTTATTGATGGAAACCTGTTCTGTACCTTCATTCTTGCTTCACATGCCACATCTTCTACCGTTCGTTCGGCTTCCTTCGGCCTGTTAAAGACTGCCAATACCTCAATCTTCTGCTTTTCTATGTTCCATTCCAAATTCGGAGTACTGCCAGGATGCTTAAGTGTCTGTTCCTCCGTGGCAGATCTACAGCATGAAACGATTGCTGAGAAATATTTTCCAGGCACGTCATCGTCGCAACATTTCTGTAGAAATAGTTCCAAATCATTGACATCTGACTGATGCGCGTAGCCTCAGTAAGCAGCAAAGTACGACAGCCGTATACAGAAAGAAAGCCCTTGTAGAAGTGTCGTGTCAAAAGATATACCCTCGTGCAATCTGCTACGTGCCAGCGACAGTTAGTGCTTACCATGGCGTCAAGGAGCCGACAGCATGGTTCAGAGGGAAAATCGTTTGACCCCTGTAGCATGGAATCGATACTAGAAAGTTGAATTTTCGGGCTTGCAGGTACAGTGATCATTCATCTGACATGTGGGCCGGCAAGTTTTTTTTTACAGGTTGTCTCTAAAGCTTTGCAAAACAAACAAACCTGCAACGTTACAGGCAGTTTAAGAGTCGTGATCACCAAGTGACTTGTGTACCGAACATAATGCACTCATTTGTACTTTTCTTTTGACTAAATGGCGATCAGAGGAAAGCAGGTGAAGTGCGAGTACAAAATATTCTGGAGAGAATGAAAAAGAATGTGCAAGATTGCGAGTACGAAAGGATCCAAGAGACTGGGGACCCGACGGCGAGGGTTGTCCGATAATAAACCTTCAATATCTGGTTTATTTGACCTGATGAGCAATATCAGCGCCGTTCATAGGTCGAATGTTGCTAAGAGATCCGAGAAGGCAGTATCAGTGCACTGATGCGTAAAGTTAAACGCGAGCTACCTTTTGAATTAAAGGGCGGTGACCCCCAATATCTCTAACATTTACGCTTCTAGATTCATTTTTCACCTTTCACGTGTAAAACAGTGCCTGCACTTTGAAAGCTGTCATTTGCTCTGACAAGTTGGCATATTTTAGAAGTATCTCTCTAGCTGCGTGGGTAATCATTTATTTTTTATAACACAATACACGCCAATGATAATACGGCAAATAACCCTATTTACCCTATTTACTTTGAACAGAAGGCTTGTTTATTCGGCTTCAATATTGATATCCTTGTGAAATTGCGTCCTGCTATATATATATATATATATATATATATATATATATATATATATATATATATATATATATATATATATATATATATATATATATATAGAGTGTGTACTCAACTCGCTCGCTCGTTTACCGCGCACGACAAATGCCACCACAAAACTTATCACGATGCCTCTGCGTCTAGTGTCCACTGTTTTCCGGGAATGTTGCTTTGGCACTGCGTCCGTTCTACCCCTCCCAGAGTTTCCCCAAAGCTTGCGTTGAAATACCACGGCCCATACCGTGTGGTGCGACAAACATCTCCTGTCAACTAGAAGTTGAGACCATTGATTCACTTTCGGACCAACACTGCCGTGAGCGTGATACACTTCACATATCACGCTTGAAACCATCGTACTACGGTACTCCTATCATGTCGTTTCCTTAGGTCGCCAGGTTGGCTGCCTTCTGCGCGGGAAGTGATTGTACAGGAACACAGCGGCGCCAACTCCGTGCCAGCGTGAAAGAAGTCATTGACGTCCGTATGGATCGTGCTAACGAGCACCGCAGCCACCGAATTCAATGTAGCGTTTGAGTTTCAATATCTTTATTATTGAGGTGATAGGGTTGAAGTGAAAAAGACAAAAATAATGACGCTACCAGAGCTATTTTTGTCTTGCTAGTCCCCATCTTTACTGCGCCGTGACTCAACCTATTACAACGAACCAAAAAGCCTGAAAAATATATGCCCCTACTCTTTCAAGTGAACTCGCGATCTTCTACAGGAGCATATAATTGTTTGAAAAATAGTGAACGCTTCCTTGCGTATGTTTTAGAAACACCTGTTCCTTGACTTTTCTGCAGCACTTGTCCAACCACAACTTTCTTTCCCAGACTCTCTTTCTAGCTCCAAGCACGTTCACCCTTCCACATTCTAGTGACCCTAAGTGTGGAAGCACAACAAAGGCTTTTCACAACACACTGCTGAAATTGCAGGCCCTCATTGCACAATACACCTTTAAAAGAAGAGAACAGGGGAAACGAAATAAAGGATCCGCAGCACTTATCAGTGAATGAAAAAAAAAAGTAGTTTGCCGATTAGTCGGCGGTTGAGGCTATCTGGTTGAAAAAAAAAAAAACTTGCTGACACATGCACAGTAACTATTTTGCAAAGTGTCAAATAACAATGCTTCTTTGGCGACAGTTCTCACAGGCGTCGCCCAGCAAGCTTCGCTACTGACACCTACAGAATAGGGGTGTGCGAGCATTGGTTAGTTTTCAATGAAGAATCGAGAATCGAAAAGCGTTCCTTTAAATTAGGTACTCGAATCAAAACAGTGCATATTGTAAACCTCGAACACTCACTGAATAATTGGGAAATAATGATCACCGATAGAAAAACCTCTAAGAAGGTGACCGTGAAATAGGGAAAGGTGCCGCTTCTTTTTTATCATAATTTTCATCAATATGCATACCACCCAAGTATTCACTTAACTATCGAAACCCTATTGCTAAAAGAATGGGGTCGTTAGTTATTAAAACGCCAAGTTCGCCTAAGTTACGAAGTGAAAAAAAATATTGTCTTCATCGCTTTACACAAGGTGTGGTTGAGTCCTGCATATCATTTATTATTCAGGTATCAATTTTATATAGGAAGTTTTTACGAAGGGCTACCTAGAACACTTTATTCACATCAATATTTCAACCTGGAATTAAAAAAAAATGAGGCTCCAGTCGCTGCTGCATACGAGCTTAATTCAGTCAACATAAATATGTTATTTGTTGAGCTAACTGTTATCAGTTGAAGCTAACTGTAATGTCCTTTTGGCAAAGCTTGTGCATATTCGTTTCAAATAAAGTGTTGCGGAATGCTCGAACTGTTTCTGAAATTGTTAAATTACTATTCCATGGAGGTGCTGCGACAGCAATAATAACTGATGGGGTTTCACGTCCCAAAACCACAATATGATTATAAAAGGCACCGGTAGTCGATGGCTTCAGAGATTTCTGCGACGTGGAGCTCTTTAGCCTGCACTGAAATCTATGTGTGCGGGCCTTGAGTATTTTCACAACCATTGAAAAAAAATGACCGCCGTGGCCAGGATTATCTGCGGCTGCCCAGTCGAGCACCAAAATTAGTAGAGCATCGTGGCGGGAGTGTTCTGGAAATAGTAGCCTTGTTAATAAAAGTGTATTCGAACAGTATTCGATTGCCATTCGTATGCGATTATACTTCATCGCTATACAATTCGCATAATTGGTTCTGTTCGAATATTCACTCTTCGCACACCTCTAAATTAGAGTCATGATTTGCAGAAAAGTTTCCCTGAGAAGAATAAGAAGTTTTCTTGAATACCGACTCTGCTAGCTCAGCTGCACAACGCCACAGCCGCCGAGCCGTAGCTGCATGCGCAGCAAGCGCCACAAGTTCATTTCATATTTCGCGCCTGTAAAACGTGACGCTTTAATACAAAGCTGGCGCTTACATCCATTAATTTTCAGATGAAGCTTGCAGCGGCCCAGAGGGATGACGGAGTGCGGTGGGGTGACATCGCGGAAAAAAGTGACGCCAGCTACATCAACTCTCTGAGGAAGAACGGCCTGCTATTCGACGACAGCCCGGCGCTCACACCACGTGACCCTAACGAAACGGCACCTGCGTACGTCAGGAAAAATGCTGAAAGGTTTATGTGCCTGATGCGACCGTAGAGCCCTAGTGCCTGCATATATATCACGTACAGCAATGCGTTCCGTAAATGGTATCATGCCGTGTAATCAGTCAAGAAGATGTACAATGCGGAAGTCCTTGTACATAGGTCAGTGGGTAAATTGGTAGCTTGGCGCATATAACTGCGAGAGCGTTCAGCATGCATAAGGCGGAAGAAGTTCATGACGTCACTTGTGTTTGCCCACATAGACGAGCGCATAGGGAGCATGAAGAGCCCCACCCCTCCCCCACCTACTCATGAATAATAATGAGAGGCGCCAAGTCTGTCGCGTACCTTTACTCAAAGGGGCCTGGAATGTGATTTTTTCAAAGTACAGTGCGATGACTAAGCAGGTTTTTGGCAGAACCGCGGCGGAGGACCCCTCAAGTTTATTTTCGTGATTCACTGCCTGTACCATGAAAAAGAAAAACCAGAGTCAAAATGAAAACCTTTGAGAGGAACATGTCGTCGTTTTATTGTCATTCTTGTATTCACTGGGAAACGTTTTTTTTTTCAAGGTGGCCAGGAGGGTGTGGGCACTGCAGGTAAACTTCACCCTTGTGATGGAAAACCCTCCGCACACTTACCCCCGTATTCACAAACGCCCCTCGCCTGAACTTTCACCCTTCACTTGACAGGGTTGAGCAGTGCGCCGCTGCTCGGATGAAAATAACGCTGCGTTACTCAAGAATAGCAGCAAATTATACTGATATGCAGTGACTTCTTTTATCTAGAGATGGCGCTTTCATCGCCTTTCTCAAGTGAAGGTGTAGCGTTCAGTGAAGGGACGTGCTTGAATACGGGCCTTAGGTTTATATTAGTCGAATGGTGCTCAATACTGGTAGCTGTGTACCGTCCTTTCGTCTTGTAGATGTATATAAACAGCGCTTTTTCATGCAGTCGCCGCGCCGCTACACTGCATGCTGCAGAAACGAGGTGAACAATACGACCAAGGTCTCGGGGCATATTAACGCGTGAGCGTTAAGAGCTCGTTTCGCAGAAATTCTTATGAGCGAAAAATCTTATGAGCGAATTTCTTATGAGTTATGAGCGAAAAAATCGACCGTAATCAATAATTCGAGGAATATGCAAATAAAATGTGATAAAATTTTTCGATTTTGAGTTAGGATCACAACCAAGCTGTTCGTGTGGGCAAGCAGTTGCTAAGACAGCCACACGTCTTCTTGCAAATAGACTAATATTTACTTCCTCTGCTTGGAAATTTAGTGAATAAAACTTTCATGCTTTACCAACATGGGCGTCTTGTATACATGCTTTAAAATAAAACATGTGACGTCAGATTAATATTGCGTGGTACAAACATACATTGGCGTCGGGCGTCAAAACGTTGGATTACCATAACGACTTCATAGTTTAAAGCTAACTACCTATTGCGAAAGGCGCACACTTTACTGCGCGTTCTTATTCTTGTTGTTTTCCTCTGTACGTGGCTCGTACCGAATGGAGGGTATTGGTCGGTTATAAGGTGAATTTTTCCGATACTTTTTGAATTGCTTTATTCCTAGGAACGTTAGTTAGTTAAGTATGGTTTGAAGGGCCAATTGCGAAATATAAAATATGGATTTCCTAGAGATCACGTAGTGGGGGCATAGCAAGCTGAATTTGAATTGATGGCGCAAATGTTTAAAAAGGACTGTACGGCTGAAGTCCTAGACATTTTAAGGTGCTAGGACATGGCCTTATGTTTGCTCGCGAGCAGCCCACTGATGACAAACCTCAGTTTTCAGGTAGCAATTATATGGACCCTCTCGGCTGGATTGCGCCGCCGGTGTCGGCGTCAACGTTGGCGTCGACGTGGACGTCGGCGTCGATGTCATGCACCGTGTATGTATAGGAAGCCTAAGCAACGCATAGTGGCTCTGCGACTCTGGATAGGGAGCGCCATATTGGCTAGAAAAATAGAAATCGGGAATTTTTATCACGCGTTTTCCTTTCCCTCCAATGGGCTGCCGCTCGCTTACGTGCTCGTGCAGAGAGCACGCACTGCGTTTGAATCACCTCACAATGTACCGCCTGCAGTGCGGCTTTATAAAGGTCTCTCAGCTGGGCAAGTGCTTCCAAGAAGTGAATCTAACAAAAGGAGTAAATCTCTTTATTCGAATTTATGATGTGGAGCAGACGACGAAAGACGAGGACGCCCGACTGAATGCGCAATGCATTTCTCGGGTCCTCCATGATGATACCATGTACGAAGTATGCCTCAGTGGCAGTATTAGACAATGCCCAGAAATTACTTTGTAGCGCCACCTTCGACCGGAAACTGATAGAGCTTTACACGTGGAGAGCATCCCTTGGTGTTGTCTGCGTTGTCATGGCAGCCCACAGCACAACAATACTTCGGGCCCTGCCGACGCTTCCATGGGGCCGCTTCTTCCATCGCGAAAAGGCAACTTTGCACAGCGAGCGACTCGTTTTAGCGCGTCAAGCTGACGGCACGGGGCCTAGTGACGAATTCCATTGAGAGAACAGGAGAAGAGGGGCAGGGCACTGAGGAGTGGGTGGCAGAGCACTCAGAGCAGGGCCTCTCAACCTGCCACTGGAATGCACCGCGCTCCCGGAGGGTAGGTGAGAAGGTGACGAGTAGGGAGACCATGTGACTGAAACGTTCCAAGCCCCGGCATATTCTTTGCGGGGCAGCAGCAAAATACGCGTGAAATTGGTCAGCCGCATATTCTTCATTGTCCTAATACCTAGTATGCTTGTGCAACGACTCATTCGGCAAACGTCCAGCTGTCATTGCAGCCATCCGTACAAAACAGCGCTGTCAAACTACACATGGTTGCTACCATTGCCACAGCGTTCTCAAGCTAAAAAAAAAAAAAAATCGGAGGCTGTCACGTTCAAGGACCACGGGACTCGTCATACTGTGCCTACAGCGTGGGTGTCCCCCCCCCCCCCCCCTCCGCTAAAAAAAGCTACTTTTGCGCGTTGGCAGTGCCACGCTTTTAGTAAACGTCACATCTGTAGGGCCACGCTGCATATGGAGGGCGCTTTAACTAATGTGATTTTGTGATATCTGTACCCGTCTCTGTGTCGGTCGCATTACGTTTTCGATGCAGTGCGTGCGTGCACAGTTTCACTGCGCGCGCATGGTGTGTCCCCCGCCAACGGTCAGCTTTGCACTTTTTTATTGCAATAGCAATTGTGTATGTAGACATTCTCGGCTTTTTTTTTTTGGCAGCTGCCGTTTTCATTCACCTTATATATATACGTACCTATATATATGTGAAAACTCAAGAAAGAAAAAAAAAGGCCGCCCGTGCTCGGCGCCCAGCTCATCACGATGCGCCAACGCACTCATCTCCCACGCGTACCTTGAGCCTGTTAAGAAACGCGCCTCCGCCGACGTTACGAGAGCGCCACGAATCTCGCCGTTGCCACCACTGTTACGAAAGACGGCGACGCCAACACGGTCCCGAAGGCGCCACTGCTCCAATTTCCGCCGACACGGTCACCAGCCGTTTGGTAGCGTAGGTTTCTCAGCTCGCGACTGCTTCTGCGCAGAGCTAATAGACGAGCGGACGAGACGATGGTGAGTTAAACAAGGTTTATGTACAGCATATATACAAAGGCGTTACAAATTCGGCACTGGGGCCGACAGCTTAGAGAGCCGAAGAGCCGAGCTCTACTCTCTAACATAGGTCTACAGCTCGCGACGCGCCGCAAGACATTTTTTATATGCACCGGGAGGATTCTTTGAGTAACCAAATGTCCAACCAGAAGCGCCGCTGGCCGTGAGGTCAGAATCCTCCAATGGGGTCGCCGCTGGGCCGCGTCATTCTCATCGAATCCGCAACCTGCGCTGCACGTGGCTGCACCCAAGGACGAGTGACGTCGCCACGCATTGCGTCAGACTCGACAGACAAGAAGGCGCCGATTGCTTCGACGCGCTCGTGGGTTGAGGGGCTCGCTGTCCGTTGCCCGACAGAAAGGCGCCGCTTCGTGATGACGCCGTTAAGTTGTTCGCGTCAGGTGGGCTGGCGTGCTAGCCTAGACACAGATTGCCTTTTTCAGAGGCATGGACGTTCGATGTGGACTAGCACGCATAACACCGCACAAATGTGGGGGGGGGGGGGGGGTTACTTGCTTGTGCGCGTGCGCTTATCCTTCGGTGGGGAAAATCACGGGCCTTCGACTTTGACCAGAGCGATTGCGTTCGCCGGGCGCACAAAGATCTGTTCACTGTTTTCACACAGTCCCTTCACGTTGAAACTACACTGATACTCGCCGATATAGCAAGAGCGCCAGCCATCATGGCCATACTTAAAGTCCAAGTTAATTATTGCTACTCGAGCGATCCCCCCCTCCCCACGTTGTTTAACGCTCGTTAAGACAGGTGGTTTACTTTCTGTTTGAGCATTCGACGACAGTTCTAACACGCGGGAGATGTTATGCACTTTGCAGTGAAATAGGAACGAGCTGACTGATTTGATCTCTGCTTCAGCAGCACTCGCGCGCTTTTACCTGCTCGTGAAAGTTACGATGCGCGGGGGGGTGTTATCAATTCGGACTTGTTACGCAACATGTCGGTGATAACGAAAACCCACTGAGAGTGTTTATATAATTGCTATCGCAATAATAACGGCGTTTTTTTGCTGGAAAATAAGTGTTTTGCTTTAGCTCTGCCTTCAGTATCCTTTTCGTTTAGTTTGCGCGTTTATTTTCTGAGTTTTCACATCCAACCAGCATATAACAAAATCCTCTTTATAACGAATTTTTCCGGAACTTTATCAATTTCATTATATTCAGGTTTAACTGTATACGCTGCCTGCGTCGATGTTGCGATGCGAGGTGAGAGAGGGTGTGGGACTGTAGGAGTGAGGGTAGAGGCACGCATGAACGCTAACGCTGGTCACGCCACACACCGGATTCAGCTCGACCATAAGACGCAAAAGAACTAGATGGCGCAACCGCATCGAAGCGCCACGGCTTTCTTCTCGGCGGTGCGGCCATGATGCGGCGTGTGGCATGTGGCGGAGGTTGCACTGCAGCCTAAGGCGAGAAACGGTTGTGGTAGGGATTCTTGACGAAGAAAAAAGCACCAATCTTCTGTCAGTCATAAGGCGACACGGCATAGTGTCTAAAAAAAAAGATAAAAATAAAGGAACGGGTGGCGTGGACTATGTGCTGCGCCTGCTTTGCTTGCCAGGCCCCGGAAACTTCAAGTTCTCGCGATGGCCGTAGAGGGCGAAAAAATCAACCGCGGTGAGTTTCGTCGATTTCGTGTATAGTGGAACTACTGACTCCTATTTTAGTGGCCGGATAAGTAATTGTGCATTTTTCCTTGTTAGGGGCGCTCAACGCGGCTGAACTTTGTTTTCAGAGTGTATCAAAAAACCGTTAAAAGATTAGATACTACGTTGTTTTTCATGAAAATTTGAATAAATATTTTTGGTTTACTTTTATTATTAATACAAGAGCCGTGATTGCTTCAGTTCAAGTATTGAGATTATCTTGACGCTCGAAAAGCAGCAGCTCATTGGCATCGAGGGCGTTTCTGTCGGTTAATTTGTTCAAATTGTCCGTGGTTAGCTATGGTACGTTTTGTCGATCGGCATTGCGATGCTCCGTTTTAATTCAGCTTTGATATATCATTGCGAGCTCGTGTGTCAGACTTCAGGGTTCTCTGCGACGAAGCCAATGTGTCTAGAGGCTGTGAACCATGTAAGATGGTGTACCTCACCAACGTCCGGCTGCGCAGCATCCAGCGTGAAAAATCAACGCCGGCCAATCGCTCGGAGACTGCCTGCGAAGACGGAATAATCTTGCAAAAATGTGGGCGTGTTCGCCGGTGAGTGAAAATGCGCTGCTTTGCATTTGAACATGGCCCTTTTATTTTGCATGCGCTACAGTTTTTGTCATTTCATAAGGCTTCTCGACTTGTACAGCTAATGAGATGCACACCTTGTGAATGTTTGAGATTGTTTACTTCGTTGTCACATTCGCTGAAGATATCTTTACTGCCAAAACCTGTAGCACAGATCACAGCATAAGTTCTACTTGTAAAGACAAAATAACTCTGCTGCAATATATGCTTATAAACTCAGTACATGGTAGAGCAAAGTGAACTTGTAGTACATATACACATTTGTACAGTTCTCGTAATCTTGTATGAACCATATAGACTTGTAGAACCATATAGACTTGTAGAACCATATAGACTTGCATATTACACTTGTATGAACCATATAGTCAATCCATATCAGGAATTACCTAGCTTTGTCCTCTGAAG